CTCCCAAGAGGTGATTTTATTCAGTGTTTTCCAAACTTTCCTTAACTGTGGAGCTTCCTCAAAGGAACCTTTGTGAGGGAGGACTTAAAAACAGCAAAACAACAGGTTAAGAGAAAGGTTGTTCTAATTGATGAGGGCCTTACCCTCTTAATTACTAATCAAAGTGATTGCTGAAAAACTGACACTTTGTAACAGACATATTTGTTGTAATGCTGGCAGAATTACAGGGTTTACTGATCTGGGAGTTCAGTTCTTCCTAGTCAAAATGACATTTAAACATTTTGGTTTGAATATGCACAGTGGGTAAGAAGATATCGAATACTCTTTAAAAATTTGACCTGGTCATGTTACAATTTAATGGTATTTGCTGTGGATGTCTAAAGAAGACTACTGTATAATTAGAGCATACAAAACAGCTATCTCAGGAGCATCTGGCTAACAAGGGGGTTGTCATATTCTAGAGGAAAGAGAAAGTGCTTCTGCTACAGTTTCTTTTTCTTTTTCTTTTTTTTTTTTTTTTAGTAAAGGTGATTGGCAGTGTGATGAGCACATGCAAACTGGAGTAATCCCTATGTTCCCAAGATCTGTCTTTCATATCTAATAAGTTGAATTAAGTTTGATTAAATGTGAAATGTTCTTTGGAACACAGTTATTGGAAAGCAACTTACCCACCTTGGGTGATATGTGGACCCTGATGAAACAGCATTCTGTTTTCATTATAGAAAAATAGTGAACTGGACAGACCAGTTATTGGTTAGTCTTCTGACCTCTTATGGTAGTTACAAACTTTGTTTTCCACTGAGGTGCTTAACAAGGGAAGCTTAGAAAGAGGTACATTTAGTTACTCACAAAGGTAAATTCGGCCACCTTGAGAAGAATAGTAGTGACTGGGTGCCTGAAAAGAAAGAAAAATCAATTCACATCTCCTGATTTATGCTCCTATGGAAAAGTCCATGGATACTGTTGACCAAAAGTGTGTTTGTTGGTTTGTTAGTGCAGTACTGTCTTACTCTGTTGTAGTCATAAAGCAAGATATTCTCAGGATCATGCTTTTTTTATTGAGCTCTATTGTGATAATCTCAACATACAGCAGTGAATCAGACCCTTCTTTCTACAGAGAAATAATGAACAAGGGGCAGTGAGACCGATAATAAGACCAGGTAATTTAATAATTAATGTATTGTTTATATCATAAGCCAGGATGAAGGGGGGAGTGTACATTTCCTTAAACATCAGGGAGACCTCCCAAGGTCTGAATGATGAAGCAACCAGTCATGCAGAGAGTTTCTGAGCAGAAGGAAAACTAGTCCCTGAGGTCAGAATTAGCTTAGTGTGTGGAAGTAATGGGAGACCTGGGCAGCCATTGATTGCAATCAGAAGACTGGGTGCCAGCTCACACAGGCCTCTGAAGCCACAGTAAGGATTATGCATTTAGTCTAAATGTAATGGGACTGTGTTGGAAGATTTTATGAAAGATTGTTATGTAATCTGATTTCTGTTTTGAGAGGATCATTGGCTGCTTTGTACAGAATAGATTCTAGGAGACTGGGGCAGAAACAGTTGTTTCATGGCATCCATGTTCACCCTTCAGTAATCCTCTGAATTTTAGCTAAACTCACAATCACCCAAAATAAAAACTGAATTTTGCAGTTTTCTTTAGGTTTACATGTAGCCATGTGAACTAAATTTAAGTCTGGTCGGTTACATTTGTATGCAACTTGGGAAGTGACATTTCCTTTCTGTTCTTTAAGGTTTTTATTTTGAGGTCATTGTAGATACTGGACTAGTGATTTGCTTTTTTTTTTTTTAAGATTTTTATTTATTTGTGCATACAGAACTGGGTACAAGCCAGAGGAGCAGTGAGAGGATTCACCAGAGACAGAGTGGGGAGCAGAACAGGCAGATGGAGGAAGTACACTGCTGAGGGGAGCAGCGGGCTGGTCAGGAGAGGTCTTCTGGGCCACGTGGGTCACCTCCGGGGCCAGGGATCGAACTCACAGTGAAGCAGCTGTGGTGAGCTTACAGTGCTGTGTCTAATGCGCTGCACCACCAGGGAGGGCCTGGGCAGTGTTTTTAAAAGAAGGAATGCCTTTGCCATTTCTTCATTCTTGCCAACTCTAATGGTGGCTATAATAGGTCTAATTTTCCAACTGAGTCTCTTGGGACTTACAGGATTTAAACAATATCATCTATAAATAGGAGTTTTGTCTTCATTCCAATATTAATTGCACTGACTAGGCTAGCCTCTATTCAGAGAGTGACAAGAATAAGCCTGACCTTGATTTTTGCCATGGAAAATAGGGCTGTTAGCTAAAAGGCTTGGGCCCAAGACTCTTTGCCTACAGCTGATAGGACAGTGATTCAGGGAGGTAGGAGGTGAACTAAAAGGAATAGCTTGAGAGTTAATATTTTATATCTTGAATATCATGTGTCTGTGTCTTTAAAGTCAGGTTTATATGTAGGTTATTTCAAGACTTAGACTAAACTCCAGGCCCCAAGTCTGGACACCAGTGGTGGGCACTGCCTTCTCCAAGAAGCATAAAGTCGCGAGTTTCCCTCTGCGTAACCAAACTGTATAGTTAGAGTTTAGAATTTTTATTTTGACTTTAATTTCTACCTTAAATAATGAATACCTTCCTGCATATATTTTCTTGGAATTCAAAGCACCTGGATTTGACAAATTATGGCCCCTTCCACTTAGAGGACTAAGCAACGGAGAGGATGAGCCAAAGAGCAGAGCCCCGCACCCCTCATCCTGTGCTGGGTTACTCCAGCTTCGGCCGACGCGCTCCAGTTCGCTTCAGTCTCTCAGCCTGATTAGAACATGATTTACAAGAACCTGTTACACAACTCAGAGGAAACTACTTTATCATGACATCAATTTATCACCTATAAAATTTGGGTTGATTACTAGTAAAAACAGCCACTAGATATTCCCTGATGGCTGCGCAGGGCTGCCCTCTTCACTATGGAGCATTTTATAGTCAGCAGTACAGCTCCTGTAGCTAATTGAGTTGGGAATAATTTTTAGCATTTGGAAAGAAAGAAAATTGTGAGCAACTCTCTATATAAAGTAGAAAACATGTATAATGGGTTCGTTTAGCCTTGTAATTTTCTTTTTCTATGATTATCTTGGGTGTGTATTCTGTGTGCATTTCACATGTCAGTTATTACACGCAGCCAGATTTTATCGGTCATTTTATCCTGTTTTCCTGGCTCAGTTGCCATTGTTTCACTGCTGCCCTCCTGGTCAGTTTGGAGATGTCCTAGTCTCCTGTACACCTGGACTTGTGCTGCTTGTGCATTGTTTCTTATATGTGAATTATAAATATGGAAACTGGTCAACTGCTTTGCTGTGGTCAAAGGCAACTGCCCCAAGCATTGTGATCTATCGGTTGTGTATGGTCTGAACATGATATCATGGCAGATAGTGTCCTCTCAAAGATACATTGATATAAATGGAAGTGTTACCTGCTGTACTCCGAGAGATTAGTACTCTAGGTTTTCTCTTGGACCTTAAGTCCCCTGTTTTTAAAAAGGAGCATGTCTGACTGTGATCCAGCAAAAAGAAGGGGAGTTTGAAGGAAGGACTGTTCCATCGTAACATCACATCGCCAACATTGCTATCACCAAGAAAGGTGAAATCAATGTTGAGAATTGACAGTGGTCATCAAGGATCCCCAAAACCAGAGGTGAAGCACCAGATGCTTAGATTCTAAAGTGTAAACCAGTCAATAGCAGGAGCTCCCTTTACACACTGGAGACAGTGGTAGTGAACACGGACAGCATGCTGAAGGCAGGCAGTGCAGTGTCCCTCTGCGTCACTTAATTGTCTTGCTCTGCCGAGGCTGCCATCTCCCTTGGCCCTGACATCCTGTACATTACCTGTTGCAGTTGACTGTACGTGGGAATCATGTTACAACTCCCACCTTCGTTCCATTTCCACTACCACTGTTCTGCTTCAAAGACCTTACATTTTTGCTTCCTAAGCGACCTTCTCTTTTTAAGCCATGAGGACTGCTGGCCTGAAACACAGATGGGTAAGGTCACAAACCTACAGTGGTTTCTTAGTATAGTCAAAAGCCCAAACTCTTTACATGGCCACGCAGACTTTCTGCAGTCAGGTCTGATCTCACTGTTTGTAGCCTGATAATGCCTGTTCCCCTCCACATGTTAAACATGCTAGGCCCCAGTAAAACCTATTTTATACAGAGATCATTTACACTTCCAACAGATAAGTGCTTATCTTTCCATGCTTTTTTGTCTGTGATATTTCTTTCTCTTTGAGTTGACATCCTGAAAGATCCAGCTGGAATATACCTTCTGAAGTTTTCTGTTAACTGCTTCCCTTATGCTTTTTAACCTCTGTTAAAATCTTTTTCAACATGTATTATAGTTTGTAACAGATTAACTTCATAAGAGGGCAGTTAGTCCATGTCTGCCATTTACAGGGTGCATCGCTCATAAAATATGCCATTTGTATCATCTCAGTTTAACCTCACAACAGTCTTAAGAGGACAGTGGTACTAGTGTAACTTCCCATATAACGAGCAAGTAAGCTATACATGTATCCACGAACTCCCAAGTCCAGATGCTTAACTCTCTCCCCACATCTTTGTATTCTCCATGTGTCCTCTCCAGTAGGTACTATGTAAATGCTTATGGCGTGAATGAATAAGTTCCAGTTCACACCAGAGTTTGGCGCGGGCTGGTCCTGCAGTTTCTATTGAAAAGGGATGTGAAGGATGTCAATGCACCATTCATAAAAAGAAAATCTTTAAAAGGATCTTCAAAACACCTACACAAAACAACTCAAAATGCTGTTGATTAAGACTCAGAAGTGTTCAACTCAAAATAAAAGCTTCATTTTTTAGATGTGCGAGTGGTTCCAACACAGGACACTCAGCGTAGTACAACTGAAGTGTCCCGAGTGGCCTTCTAGGAGACTGCTGCCCCTCACTTCTGACTTTATTGTGGATTCTTTACTATGGATGCTCTAACATGGACCGTCTTGGCCTATACATTGTGGAGCTGGTCGTAATGCAGGTAAACTCTTTGAGGTAGAGTGCAGTAGACACAGGAATAATTAGGGCCAGCGAAGTTTTTTTTTTTCCCCAAAAAAGTTTTTTAGTCCATCATAAATTGAAAAATAATTTGAATACTGTGCTGAGTGTTTGTATAAAAGATACAATGCTAGTTTATGTGTTTTCTTGTTTGTTTATATCAAACAGTAAATGAGAATCTAACAGTTAAACCTTAAAAGTTTTGAGAATGAATGTTAGTGACAAATAGTGATTTTAGTGAACCTTTATGTCATCCAATTTTCCTTATAAACTTAGTAAAATGTAACATAGATTCAATTTAACCTCTCTCCTGTTATTTCTCTAGTGTTGTTAATAACCATACTCGTGGTAGAAGGGATTGCTGTGGCCCAGAAGACCCAAGGTAAGGGACATGCAGGGGTAGCAGACTAGTGGAGAGTTCATGTGAAAGGATTGCAACCCTGAACACTGTTTCTCCAACCCTCCGGGGGATTCCAGTGAGCTGAGGCTTTCTGTCAGCCTCAGTTTAACTGATTCAGCTGTAGTTACTTAGACTAAATTGGCATAGTCTTGCCCTGGTGAAGTTTAAAAGCTGCCTCATTTGTAGCCCCTACCACACTATGGATTATGCCCCAAAATTAAATGTGCTACTTCTTAATTATTTCAGTTTTAGGTGTTAGATACGATTCCCCACCATGGCAGATGATGATTTAACGCTTTCATGCACCTGCCCTCCAACCCCAACTCTGCATGCTCCACTTTCTATCCACCCCGCAGCACAGCGCTGTCAGAATTCTGGTGACAGCAGTGTTCAGGATTTAGCCTAAGGTGCTCATTGAGCTTTTCAGTACAAAAAATTCTCAGTTTCAGAGATGTTTCTTCCCCTTTTTTCTTGTCTGTTCAGTTTTTTATTTTTTAGTATATTTCTTATGTAGACCATTTTCTCACAGTGGCTGCTTGTTTCTGTTGCTGGTTTTGTATTAGAGGCTTTCTCCAAGTGTCCAGTGATCCTTGTATGTCTGCTCATGTATGAGAGTCTGGGCCCTGTGCAGTGTAGACACGTCTTGTTACTGTGGCCCTCTCTGGAGAGTCGTCTAGCTTTGCGAGCCCAGAATTGGCTTTCTTGGGTCTTTTTTTCTGGGCTCATTAGATTCCCTAGAGAAGAATCTTTCTCTTTCCTGTCTGGAAGCTCTCCATCTGGCTAAGAGGCCTTTGGGCAAGGCAGCAGGGAAGAAGTCTGGAGGGGCCCCTCAGTGGACACTCACCTGCGCTCCCTGTTCTCAGCTTGTGCCTGACATGACCCTGTCTTCAAAGGAGAAAACCTCCAGTTTTCTAACTGGTGATATGACAGCAGCTACCTAAATTTGTAGAGCAGGGGAGGATATTGGACACCAAATAGATTCTAAATATACTTTTAACCAATAGACTTCTAGCCAAGTTAAGCACCGACACGATTACCTGGACTTCCAGAGAAACCTAAAATGCTAATTGTTACTATTGTGTGTTTGTCCTAAAAAAAATCATTTACCGTTGTCATGTGGCATTTGAGAAAGGAGCAGTACTAACTGCTTGTGTTCAGTCTTTGGATTTTATTTGACTTACTATCGAATTAAACACAGAAGTACCATACAGAGGTAAAGTCTTGGGATTCTGAATTTCATAGTGGTTTCTAATTTACATATTATTCATGGTTTTGCCCTTGTACAATCTAAACATTTGACTTCCCTACTCTCTTACCTGACTAACCTGTCCTCTAGCAGAAAGTACGTCCAGCAAGCACAGCATTGCTATCTTAACCTTACTGTCATTTCCATATTCAGTTTATTGTGAAAGTGGTTCTCGCAAAGTCATGATTCACATGTGTATTCATGTGTTTACTCAAATATGTATTTACACGTACATGTAACATAAAGTGGGCGCTTATTTGGGGAAATTTTGGGTGAAAGAGAATGCTATACTCTGTTACTACATTAACATATTAAATGTTGTGTATCCCTAAGATGGACAGAATATTGGAGTCAAACACATTCCTACAACCCAGTGTGGCATTTGGGTTCGAACTAGCAATGGAGGTCATTTTGCTTCACCAAATTACCCTGACTCATATCCACCAAACAAGGAGTGTATCTACATTTTGGAAGGTATTTGACCCATTTGTGTCTTTCTATTGATGAATTTTTACTTTATTGTAAAACTGAATACACTTGTTGAAAACTAAATACCCTGTTTAAACCAGTTTGGACAAAGCATGTATTTATAGTCTAGTAGTTTTACATTCTTCTGAAAGCAGAATATATTCACAAAATGATAGTTAAATGTTTACAAGAATTATATATCCCCTGAAATATAATAATCCCACTAGATGCAATAAGGAACTTTCTGGCATCTCTCACTAGGCTTCATTGTGGTATATTGTGTCTTTTGAACTAAGCATTAGCCTCAGGACTCTTGAATGATAATCAGTTACTCTTGAATGATAATCAGTACACTTAACAAATAGCACATGCCAAATGGAAAGAGTATAATAGTTCTACAGAGTAGTGGTGTCACTGACATAAAACATAACATTTATTTTTAACTACAGAAGACAGTTCTTGTTACAGTTCTCACCTACAAAGCAAAGCACTTGTTGCTTTTCTCATTTAATGTCAGCATTTTTATATTTTTTCTTGTTCATAGTGTCCTGATTGACTTATTCTTATTTTCCAGCCGCTCCTCGTCAAAGAATAGAGTTGACCTTTGATGAACATTATTATATAGAACCTTCATTTGAGTGTCGGTTTGATCACTTGGAAGTTCGAGATGGGCCATTTGGTTTCTCTCCACTTATAGATCGCTACTGCGGTGTAAAAAGCCCTCCATTAATTAGGTCAACAGGAAGATTCATGTGGATTAAGTTTAGTTCTGATGAAGAACTTGAAGGACTGGGATTTCGAGCTAAATACTCATTTATTCCAGGTAACAAAGTTATCTTCTCAGTGGTTAGTTCTTATTCTGGCCTTAGAATCTTAAGTTTAAAATAAGAGATACTTTTGTTGAGTTAAGCAAATCAAGGCATTAAGGAAATTAGTAAGGTGCAAGGAATATCAGCCCATGAATAAATAAAATGTGGAAACAGAACTAGATTATTTAAATTTTAAAACATAGATGGTATCACATTTTTTCTGAGATAGATTTAAGTTTTAGAGTATATGTGAAGGCCAGAAACATCAAAATCAATCTATTTTTGAAAATTCAGCAAATTGTCTTATGTTCTAATCACATCCAATGTTAATATTGGAATCACCTCCAATGTTATATTGCCAGGTGTTTCCATTGGACTTGTTAGATTAACTGCTCATTGGACTAAATAATCTCTGTAAAATAGTGAGCAAGTGCTGCTCTATGCTGGAGGCAGAGTTCTGGGCTTGAACCTTTTCTCTGCCACCTAAACTGTAAAACAGCAGTACAGAATTGTGGGTTGCTATTGGTAAAGTAGAATGCCTTCTGGGTGACTTTCCAGAGGTTGCTAAAACTAAATATGACACATTGGTCGCTGAAATGACAGAAACATTCCCTCAAAGTTCTAGAGGCCAAAGGTGCAAAATCCAGTGGGCCTCTGTGTGCCTAGAAAGTCAGGGGAGAAGCCCTCCTGCCTCTTTAACTTCTGCTCCTGCTCCAGTCTTCTGGGCTTGCTGCCCAGCTCTGTCTCCATCTTTACACTCCCTTCACTCCAGCTCTGTCTCCATCTTTACACCCCCTTCTCTCCTCACCGTCCTTCATTCCATCTCATCCTTTGCCATGTAACAATTGCCATGCAAGGTAAAATTCATAGGCTGAGAATTAGGGTACAAACATTTTACATGGGGGTGACAGGGAGCCTTATTCAGTCTACTTTGCCTGTTGTACTTAGAACTGAAAGTCTACAAAGCTCCTAAAAAAACACAAAGTAACACAAATTGCTACTCTTCAAAGAGTTTACAAAGTCACAAAATAAAAAATTAACAGTGTAACAATTATACATTCTTTTTGCTGTTAATATTTTTGTATGCAGGGAATTTCTTAACTGAAAGAAGTTAAAACATATCCAAGTGAAAAAAAAATCCATAATCTTACCACCCTGCATATAAAAACCAGAATGAACAATCTGGTGTGAATGCCTTCAGATGCTTTCTGAATTTTCCTTGTTTGTGTCACACAACCAAATTCATGCTGTACATGCAGCTGTACCACCTGCTTTTTTACCTAAACAACTGTAAACTGTTTTTCCCTATTAGTAAACCTGTTGGGGCAATTTTTTTTTAATTTTATAACAGTTTATTTTTACATCATTTTGTACTTTTTTTTTTGCCATCTCAATTGTAATCCCTGCAGGTTTCCCTGTTGGGGTAATTTTTAAGTGTTGCCTCTGTATTTATCTTGTCGATGTCAGAAGAAAAACATTTTCAAAAAGCAAAATTTACAGATTTTATTTTTTAGAACAGGTTAAGTTCACAGCAAAACTGAGCAAAGGACTTAGCGTTGCCTGTGATGAGCACAGACATTCTGCAGCAGGGTAGCACACTCATCTCAAACAGTGACCCTCTGACATGTGGCTGTTGCCCACGCCTGCAGCAACAGGGGGGCTTATTCTTTTGTGTTACTCATTCTGTGTTTGGACAAATGTTTAATGAGGTGTCCCCACCACTCTCGTGTAATTCAGATTGTTTCCATTGCCCTAAAAATCCTCTAGGCCCCTACCAAGTTGTCCCTGCCACCTTACACCCCTGGAAACCACTGAGTTTTTATCGTCTTTAGTCTTGCTCTTTGGAGTCACATAGTGGGTGGCCTTGTCATACTGGCTTTTTTACCTAATGTAAACATTTAAGGTTCCAAGTTTTAGCAATTATGAATAAGCCTATGTATAAACATTCACATGCAAATTTTTGTATGGGCAAGTTTTTAACTCACTAGGATAAATATAGAGGAATACAATTGCTGGGCCCTATTAAAATTTTATCCTTTTAATTTCTGCTTAAATAGATGATGGTGATAATTCCACAGCATTGTGGATGCATTTTAATGCAAGTTAATTGCACACTTAAAATGGCCCAAAGGGTAACTATTATTTTACTACAATAAAAGTAATTTTTTTTAAAGATTTATTTATTTGTGCATACAGAACTGGGTACAGGCCAGAGGCTCAGGGGCAGTGAGAGGCTTCACTAGA